TTTCCCTGCACCCAGGCACGTAAGTTTACCTGCCCTCTAAACAATTGGTGGTTATTCAGAAAAGAATGTGAGTGCCATTATTTTGTCCCTTCTGCCCTAGATTTTTCTAGAGATAGGCTGAATTCCAGCAATCAAACATTCTGGCGTACCTAGATAAATTTTTGAAAAAGCCTTTTTGGCAGTTTTACAGCATCCTGTTCCTGGGCAAAGCTGGGAGCTAATTGGGTGTATAATTACCTCCTGTTAGACATTTAAGCAACTGATATTTTTTTTTTTTTTTCTCTGAGTAGTAGGGAACCTTCTAGATACTAATGTTCTGCTTCTATCATAATAACTAGCTAAAATAGTCCCTCCTACCTGATTTTTGCATAGGTTTAATTATGCATGTTACGTAAAGGTTTTCAGCAAGTGATTAATGTAGCAAAGGGTTCCTGTTCCAGGCTCTGTTTTTCAAAGGTGAGCTTTTTTGTTGTTGAGACCTTAATGTTCTCAACAAATTATGTTGAGGATAACATTTTCTCTGGTTTTACCAGGGCAACTTAAAGGTTAATTGAAACTGTTGTTTAGTTGTCATTCCTCTGTCTTGTGTATATGCCTTTTCTGGGCTAGCTGGTTAGGGATATTGTGTTCCAGTAACCACATGTGTTTAGGTTGTGTAAAGACTCTGGTATCAAACCAGGACTGATAATCATCTCAGCAGTCCTCAAATTACGACACCATTTATCAAATGTGAGCTTTGTATTCATTTAGGTGTTGCATAGGTAGATCCAACTTGAAAACTGTTTATTCAGGTGAAGATAGCTTCAAGCTACTAGTTAAAGAACCATGATAGCATATAACCCAACTTTAGATGACTTAACGATTTAACCGATCAAGAATTGCAGATATGTTCCACCTTTCTAGTTAATTTTTTTAAGAGAATTGTCGAGGCTCAGTTACGAGTGAACTCATCACTTCCTGGCAGATTCTGGTACCATTTGCTTTGTGGAAAAAATTCCAATTTTCTCTATTATGTCTGCTTTTCTGTAGAACTGTGCCAGACATATAACTGCTAGAGATGCAGAAAAAAATGTCCGCTATGTCTGTTATCTTACTCATTACTTTGAAACATCCATTTGGAAAGCACAGAAAGCAAAAGGATTATTTTTTTTCTTTGTTTTATTTTATTTTTTTACCTGGAAAGGAGCTGATTCTGAGGGAAGATAATCTGAAATCAGAATGTTTTCAGCCAAACCTTTGTTCTGCTTGAATGAGGTAGTTCATCTAAACAAATTTGATTATTGTTTGTGCTTTTTATTCGCTTGTTAATGAAGAATATTAAAGTAGAAACATCTTCCAGTTTATGTTTTCCAGTAGGATACATGCAATTATTAAAATATTTGTTTTTTTTTTTTCTTCCCTGTGTTCCTTGGTTTTTAAGGCTATTTATTTATTTATTTTAATGGAAGGCTATGTGTTTATTTTAATGGGGAGGAAGAAGAAACCGATTGTTCTTTTTTTTGTTTGTTTGTTTGTTTGCGGTATGGTGAAAGAATTACAAGAGTCTCGAAAATAAAAAGGTATCTCCTCAATAAATGAGAGAAGCTGGAGCACAGGATGTTGTTTTAGAAAGAGAACAAAAAGCAGACCTGAGAAGCAAGCAGGTGCTTGTGCTGGGGACGCTCCACTGGACCAGGGACTGTGGGACAACCTTATGATCTCCTGTACTAGAACCTGCATGTTGTTAAGTCCTAGATGTTTATGTGTAATATTGTAAATTATGATAGGCTGAGGGAGTTGGGGATGTTCAGCCTGGCGAAGAGAAGGCTGCAGGAAGACATGATTGCGGCCTTCCAGTGCTTAAAGGGGGCCTATAGGAAGATGGGGAAAATCTCTTTAGTAGGGCCAGCTGTGACAGGACAAGGGGTAATGGTTTTAAACTAAACCAGGGTAGGTTTAGACTGGATATAAGGAAGAAATTCTTTACAATGAGGGGTGGTGAAACGCTGGAAGGTGTTGCCCAGGGAGGTGGTGGAGGCCTCATCCCTGGAAACATTCAAGGCCAGGTTGGACAGGGCTCTGAGCAACCTGATCCAGTTAGCGGTGTCCCTGCTCACTGCAGGGGGGTTGGACTAGATGGCTTCTAGGGGTCTCTTCCAACCCAAAGCATTCTACGATTCTGTGATTCTATAAGTGATTCTGCTGGCAAGTCTCCTGGAATGGAAATGCATTTCATGGCTTTCTGTACCAACAGCAGCCCTGTTTGCTCCTTCTTGCCTACTTTTATTTTGGCCAAGACCAAAGTAGAGGGAATGAGGCAATAGTAAACCAGACTTTGTATCCTTCTCTTTCTATTTGGTTTTACAAACTGAAAGTATGGCTCTTTGCTTGTTACTCAGGGTTCCAGATGAATGCATCTTCTTGGCCAATGTTTCTCTTAAGAACTCTCAATGGAGCTGAAATGGCACCTGCAGCATTCTTTAAGAAGGTAAGAAGAAAGGGACTGCTAGTAAACGACTTTCTACAGCTGGTTCATGGTTACGTTTTTTAATGAGGATGCCAAGATATTACCCTATTGTCTGTGGCACAGGAAGGCAAGACTGTTTATAATTACTTTGAACTGGATTGGCAAGGTACTAAAGCTAGACAGGAAGCAACCTGCTTCTACTCCATTGAGATGGGCATCTATTTTCCTGAGTTGAGACTTTAAAGTATGGTGTGTTATTTAGAAAAATTGTGTTAGCTCATTTTTTTTGTGGATTTAAGATACAATGCATATCACATTTCTTAACAGCACCATATTCATGTGGTCGTGCACAGGAGTAAAAATGTACACCTGAGATGGCTTTTGAATAACGAGATTCCTGAGGTGGTAATTCAGGTTCCATCAGGTCAAAACTCCTGCTGGGGGGGTACACTTATGCATGTCACATATGGGAGTCACGTTGACTTGGTTTTTGTTTTTCTTTTGCCAACTTAGAATTGGTCTAAGGCCAGCTGAGTTAACAGAGGCCTATAAATAATGTCCAATGCTAATGAATTTTTCACGGATTAATTGGAAGGTGAAGCTTTTAACAGACAGTTATCAGTCCCCTGAAATATCCATTCCCTGCAAACCTCCTCCTCTTTATTAGCATGTCATAATTTCATTTTAGTGTCTTCGCTGTCTTGCTGCCCAGACATAATGTATTGAGTGCAACCTATTGCTTATGTAAATACTTTTATCAGGGTCTTTCTGTCATGGAGAATTTTGCTAATTATCCCAGCTGTGTTTGTGGGGACAGAATACAGATTTTTATAATACAGGGGAGTAAAAGCAAATTTGAAGTACAAGTAAGTTTCCTTGAATGTCTACTGTAACTTTCTGAGAGTAGTGAGTATAAGAAGTGAGGATGTTGAAGAAAAATAGAGATTTTTTTTTTTTTTTAAGAGGCCACAGAAATATAAATATTCTACCACTCTTACTTTTGTAGGAACCACCAAAACCTGTGCCAAACTGCTTTAAAGTTGGAATGAAACTTGAGGCTATAGATAGAAAGAATCCATACTTGATTTGCCCAGCAACGATTGGAGATGTTAAAGGAGACGAAGTTTTTGTTACATTTGATGGCTGGAGAGGAGCATTTGACTATTGGTGCAGATGTGATTCTCGAGATATTTTCCCAGTCGGATGGTGTAGCTTGACAGGAGATGCATTACAACCACCAGGGAACAATGGTAAGATGACTAATAATATCGCTTAATTATTTTTCCCCTCAATTACAGCAGAATTTTAAAAACCAGCTGGCTGTATGCAGATAAGACTGAAGATTTGATTTGTGAGTAGCTGATGAGGATGAAATGTTGTTAAATTTTCTTTATGTATTTTAAAGCTAATAGGATAGTTTCTGGGAAACATTATTTGTCTGTTCATAGCAACTCTGGGAACATGTTTAATACTGTTAGGAGGGCTTTTGATAATCTTTAATTTTTGTGTGCTTGTGGAGAATCTTGGACTTAAACTAGATTTGCTGTTTGTATTATAGATACTTAAATGCTCCTGTTTAATTTTACTAATATATTGGCTGTAGCAGCACTTTATATTAAGCTAACTGCTAAGAAAGTGAAGTAGTCTTTGCTTCTGTGATGACTGAAGGTTTAAATGATATATATTGTGTGTTTCTTCCTTTATACTCACAAAATTCTCTCTTGAAGCTGCCTATTCTGAATGCTTTATCATCCTCATGTCTTTAAAGATGTTTGTACATAGGGCTATAGAGTCCCTTTAACTAATGGCTGCTGTGCTTTATAATGTACAGTTATCTACTTTAGAAAGAAGGGAAATGGAATATCCCTAACTGTAATCCCTCTTCTACTCTGGGGACCTCTTGTCATGGTTTTGTAGTGTAAGGCTGTTCTGTCAAACTCTTTGGGCTCTTCTATCCTCACTCCCTTCAAATTTGACAGGAAGAGAGGTTTTTAAAGAGGGGAGCCATATTTTAATTAATTACTTTAATTTAGTTGACCAGAACAATTTGTTCTCATGGTGAGCATTTTCACAGCTACTGTTAGGTAGGTAAGGAATGACAGACTTGTATCACAGAACTCTCACTGGAACTGCCAAAGGAACAAAAGCAAGAAGGCAAGAAGTCAGATGCGTTTCTTGCCCTTTCCATCCCCATTGGTTTTTCTCAATCTTTTGCTAGCAGGTCAAGAACCGTATAGAAAATGTAACTGAAATTAGTTAAGGGTACCTCTGCATCCTTGCCCTCATCTGCCTGTCTGTAGTTACTGTCTGCAGTTACTGCCAGTGGTCATAGTACCTGTAATCTAGTTTAGTCTGTTTTGGTGGATTTCAGCAAGGTAGCAACTATGTGTGTAGCTGTAGAGGCAGGTCCAAGATGATCTGCCAGTACAAACCTGCAGTGAGAAGGCAGGGGGATGTCACGGAATCACAGAATGGCAAGGGTTGGAAGGAACCTCAGGAGGTCGTCCAGTCCAACCCCCCTGCTAAAGCAGGTTCACCTAGAGCAGGTTGCACAGGACATCGTCCAGGCAGGTTTTGAATATCTCCAGGTAAGGACACTCCACAACCCCCCTGAGGACAATCTACATTCAGTCAGAAGTCATCTAATAGATACCAAGTTGACCTCAGTCTTAATGTTTCTGTGCTCCTAATCTCTAAAAGTGTCTTTCTAAGCTTCTTCAGAAGGTTTACCTTGTCTTGAGAAATCATAAATAAGATATACTACTATGGTGAGTTAATTATGTTAATTGTGGTGAAACAAAGTGGCTTTATACAAAAGGGACTCTGTAAATAAGTGCTGTAAAATTTTTAGAAGATATTTTTGTGACAGTTTAGATTGCTGAATCCAACTGCATCTTCTGGAAAGAAGTATTACTAAATTGTTTAGTCTACTGCAGCTTCACTGCTGGAAAACCAGCAATATTTTGAGATAATATGTACAGAATTTTTCTTGTGTGGTTAGTGCTTGATAAAGATCAAAGAGTTGTTTAACAATTAGTTGGTAAGGTTGATTACGTATTCCAGTTGTTCAGGTAATAAAACAAAGTTGTTGAGTATGTTCAAATTTGCTGAAGGCTTGAAATACCTACCCAGGTATTTTTATGAATTTTATTGCTTTGTTATGAAAACCAGTAACATTTTAGGCATTAATGAAGCCTGAAGCAAGGTTTTTACAGACTTGTATTCAAAACTGAGAATATTGGACATGTGATAGAAACTGAGGGCAGAGAGGTGCAGGCTGAGGATTTTGTTCTTTTTAATTCTAAAAGTGAACACAAAGTTAACTGCAGTTGTATTAAAATTATATGTCCTCCTTTTTTTCTCTGTTCTGAGCATAAAGAATTTGTTCTTTCAATTTCGCTTCACATGCTTATTTTTTATGTGCTGTTTGTGCATGTTATACGCACTTGTCAAATTTACATAGCTAGATGAAATATTTTTTGCTCTCAGGTTATGTTTTTCACTGTTATTTGATCGCTTTTGAGCCATTAAAGAACTGTAATGATAGTCCTTTATTAAGTTGTAAATAATAGCTTCAAGGAGAGTGTAATCAAGTCATTTCAATTCAGAAATATGATAATGTTGTCAGGATTCTTCATTAAGTCACATTAACATTGACTACTCCTGTTGAGGAAGAAAGTGTGACAGCCACTATATTGTAGGGATTCACTTGAAATATTATAGTATTATTCTGGCCTGGACTTTTTTTCCTGCAGGTTAGTTTAGTATTTCTGCCTTGAATTACCGCAATAGAAAGTGAAAATAATTGACTGAGCATGGCTTAGATTTCAGAGTGAATATAACGAGAAGTAGTCTTGATATTTTTTTTTTTTTGTAACTACCTTTCCTGAAAGCATTTAAATGTGTTAAATCACTAGCTAAAGGACTGAAAAAAAAAACCCTTAGATTTCAGTGAACAAGCAAAACCAATATCCTGAAAGTGATAAAGGATGCTTTAGATTTCATCCATACCTAGGACAATTTCCTGCCACGAGACTTATATTTTAGGGTCTAATTTAGCCTTTTGAAAGAGAGATGAAGCACAGTAAGGGAGACAATATGAAAATTAAGGAAGATTTTATTTCAGCTGTTTACTGCCTTAGCCATTTAGGATGCCCAGAGAGAATGTAGGACCTCTGTCATGGGAGGTTTTTGAGAACAGTTTAAACACACAGGCTTCTTAGATATGGGTGAATTTATTCAGACCAGATTACTCGGTATATTTAGTCTTTATAGGGGTTATCTTCTGTAACTCACAATGGTTTTAGATAGCTCAGGAACCAAGTCTCAACTATTAGAAGATAAGATGGAGAAGGTAGGTGAAAAGTTGTTTTGGACCAACTGTTTTTAGCATTCGGGCCTTAATCTTCATGTTGATGTTTTGTCTTTGGTCCTTATCAGAAAATGTGACTTAAGTGGGCCTGGCTGGGTGTCGGGGTACGCATGCAGTGGTATGAAATGTAGCATTCAATGCTTATATTAGCAGAAGCTGTGCTTAGCTAATATTTTAGTTTGTTTCCTTAGAAATATCTGATAGTAGTAATTTGTGTTAGTTATGGTTTGACAACAGTGCTTTATGTTGGCTTGGCTGGCTGGCACAAGGTTAATATTTTAAGGATGCAGTACCATAGAATCATGGAATGTTTCGGGTTGGAAGGGACCCCTAGAGGCCATCTAGCCCAACCCCCCTGCAGTGAGCAGGGACACCGCTAACTCGATCAGGGTGCTCAGAGCCCCGTCCAACCTGGCCTTGAATGCCTCCAGGGATGGGGCCTCCACCACCTCTCTGGGCAACCCCTTCCAGTGTTTCACTACCCTCACGGTAAAGAATTTCTTCCTTATATCCAGTCTAAACCTACCCTGGTTTAGTTTAAAGCCGTTACCCCCTGTCACAAACGGCCCTGCTAAAAAGATTGTCACCATCTTTCCTATAGGCCCCCTTTAGGTACTGAAAGGCTGCAATCAGGTCTCCCCACAGCCTTCTCTCCTCCAGGCTGAACAAGCCCAAATCTCTCAGCCGGTCCTCATAAGAGAGGTGCTCGAGCCCTCGGATAATTTTTGTGGCCTTCCTCTGGACCCGCTCCAACAGTTCCATGTCCTTCTTGTGCTGAGGGCTCCAGAGCTGGACGCAGTACTCCAGGTACTATCATTGTAAATTGTTTTCACTGTGTCTTTTGGTCACCTAAGTGTTTTTAGAGATGACTTGTCACTCAGGAACACAGTTGTGAACTGTAGCTGGTGAAAGAAGTTGGCATGATAATGTCTGTGCTGGACCAATCTGAAGGATCATCTGCTCTAGCAGACTTTCTCCAGCAGTGACTGAAAGCAGATGCCTGAAGAAAAGCATAAGCATGTAGGAGAGAGGTTTGCAAAAATATTCCTAATATCTGGCCACCTACAACGCAGCATGTCCAAACCCCAGAATAATGCTTTTATGCTGAGCACCTCCTTGGAGGAGCTTGATCTATTTTGTTTGGTTATATTTTGGAGCTGTCTGAACTTTTAGCACCTACAACATCCTGTAGTAAGGAGTTCTTTACTTGAGTATAAGCTCTGTGGAAAAAGGAGATACCTTTTTTTCTTGCTGGTAGTTTCATTTGTTGTCCTTGTGTTCTTGTACTGAAATAGCTTCTTGTACTTCCAGAACTTTTACAGGAAGAGACAGTAAATAGGCATTCCCTAATTGCCTTCTTCACATTCATCACAATTTTGTAGACCTATATTCTAGCTTCTCTCAGCTGTCTGTACTCCAAACTTGTAAAATCCTGTTATGTTTCGTTTTTTGTTGTTACGGGATCAGCTTAATTCCTCTGATCACCCTTGTTCTTCTGTACTGTTTCCATTTCAGCTATGGCATTTTTGAGCCACTGGAACCAGAAGTGTGCAAGGTATTTAAGACTTAGTGGCATAGTGGTGGTTTCTGTTTTGTTTTCTGTTCTTTCTGTAATAATTCATGAATTGGTGTTTGGGATTTTTGGATTACTAACAAGCAATGAACTAATACTGTCAGAGAAACATTTATTTTAATTCTAAGATGTCATTTTTGTATACAGCAGCTAACAGCCCATCACTGATCACAGAAGATGGATTATTTTGAATTCCTTGACATGGAATTTCATCTATTACTTGTTCTGCTAAGCAACTGCTCAGTTTTACAACATCTTTTTATACATCTTTACTCACTCAATTAATTGTTCAGCAGTTGTTGCCATCTCATGCTTTATTCTTGTTCTGGATCATACATGAATCGAATGGCACAAGCGCAAGCAGAGATCTCATCAGGATTTCTCTAGAGTCCTCTCTCGACGGTGGAAACACATCTGTTTATTCCTGGCCACTGTTTGGTGTTTTCCAAGAAATTCTCTAGAAGGATCATAGGGATCTTCCTTTGTATCCATTGCCAGCTAAGGATTTTTTTTTTAAGAGACTGTGGTGTGACATCTTGTCAAGTGTGAATCCACAGACTACATCAATTGACTTTCCATTGTCTGCTTGCTTATTGACTCCTTAATAAAAAAAAAAAAAGTTTGTGAGATGTGACTTCTCTCTACAAAAGCTATGATTTGTTCTCCCCCAAGACATCATACTTATCTTTGGGTTCATGACCTCTGTTTTATACAGGAGTTTTTAGCAACTTGGCCAGTACAAACATCAGGTGTCCTTTCCATACCTTGCTGGCTAGAGTGTTGGTGTTTTATTAACCACCTTTTTAAGTCTCTGAACTTCAGGCAGTTTCAAGGACACACTTGCACAGCACCATCAGTAGGTTGGACATTTCATCTTTTAGTTTCCTTAAAAGTCCTAAGTGATGTGTGCCCTGTCAACTCTCTACTGCTTGTTTTGTCTCCATTTCCTGACCTCTCCTACTGGTACTTCATGTCAGGGAACTTGTTTCAAATCTCTGTAAAGATGGGTTCTGATATGGGAAGTGATGTGATGAGCTTCCTTGGAGTGAGTACAAATGTAAAAAATGTTCAATCTTGTTGCTTCTGCACTTACTCATCCTGAAATTTGATCGTCTGTTGGGTCCATGTAACTTCTGCTCTTGATATGCTTTAAAAAGGCTTTTTAAGTTTGGTATCTTTTGGATGTTTTTCCGTTAGCTCTTTTTCTAGGCCAAACGTATTATGCTTTTCTATTTAACCACCATAGACTGTAATTTTTATTTTACTCAGTTGGATAATAGAAAGCTGTTAGTATGCCTAAGAATATTCTTGTATTGCACTGTGGCTAGTTGTATCTGAGGCTTATGATTGAAGTAGATGGCAGATGTCTGGAGATTGTCAGAGCAGTTTCTGTTTGCTGTTTCTATATAAATTCATTTTACTGTTTAGTCATTGCATGTAAATGGCAGTTACATAGGTAACCCACCTTTTTATTTATAATAGAAATAAAACCTTTTCCATAAAAGAGAGAAAACAAAAGAACAACTGGGGACAAGCCATGTGGGAAATAGTAAGTAGTTTCACCTGCAAAGATTGATTTTAGTATAAAGTAGTATCTATCATTTAGATGTGAACTGCATCTGGAGAGGGATCAGTTTCTATATATTGCTTATCCCCACAGTCTTATGACGGATAAAAGTGATGCAAGAGCTCGTGAAGGAGGAACTGGTCCCTGTGCTGCACGGGAGAGAATTTGGGTGACCAAAGGAAGACAATGTAGTAATCTAAATAAAAACAGTGATACGCTGTAGCTTTTATCCTCAGGCCTCTTCCTTCCTTCCTTCTCCTCTGTCTCCCCTCTTCCACATCGTGTGTCCCCGCATTGCTCTCACTGACAAATGCACTGAATCGGGAGAAAAGCAATCTTCTTTCATTACCCTAATCAGCCTGTGATGTTAAAGGTCTCCTTCAAAAGCTGTCTGCAGCAGTAAGAGTAGTACAGTCTCAAGTAGAGATTAAAAAGTATCTTATTTGTCTGGTTTATGATTTCTTAGTTTAGTTTTATTTAATTTTCAGATGTGTTCTCAATGCTTACTTCGTGCAAATTTTTCCAAGCTAGCTACTGGAGATGCACTTTTCTGTTATTGGTAATGAAATTATGTCAAAATAGCTATGCTATATTTTCAGCTGAGTTGTACACAAATGTGCAACATCAATATAAACTTAAGCACTGTTCTATATGATGAAACAAAAGGGGTGTTAAAACTTTAGACAGAGCTACAGTTAGATCTGTGAAAAGACTCTGCATTGTTTAAAGTAGCCAAAAAAAATCAGATAAGCATGGTAATTCTTAAGTTTCATTAAAGAAAAGAACAAATGCTGAAATGGTACAATTTCATACTGCTGGAGGTTTCATTTTTCTCCTAGTGCAGCCAGCTTCTTTTCAGGAGCAGGTCACAGTAGTTAAATCAGGCACATACAGTAAGCAGATTTATGCTGTCTTCAGAATTGTACATGAAAAACTCCCCAGTGCTTCAGGCTAAATTCTGATTTGCCACGTTCTCTCACATGTTAAGCCTTTTTTATTTGGTATTAATGTTTCTTGGCATCTTGCAGCAAGGCCTGGATGGTGCGGCTACAGGGCAGTAATCACTTAAAAAAAAAAATAAAGGTTTTGCCTTTCACAAAGCTGTGACCTTACTGTAAGTCTGGTTTCCTCACCATCTTATCATGTTTATTTATAAGGTAGTTGTAATTTTCTTTTAAATTGGAAATACTCCAACACATGTATTTTTGACTTTTACATGGAAAAGTTTTTATTTGCTCTTGTTCAGGTCTTGTGGATACTAATGTCAATATTGATTGTGTTGCCCAACTAGTGGATGGGATTGAGTGGTTTTTTTCCAAATCTGTGGTAGTACATATAAGCTATGTTAAGAATATCAGTGCTGTCATTCAGATACTGAGATGAAACAAATTGTGGCATTGCACTAACCATGCTCTGTGTTTCTTTTTTCTTTCCCTGAAGCTCATTGCATTTTATTATTTCATTTTGGCTCCACCTTTCATCCTGCTGGTGCTATTTGGGGAAAAATAATGGCAAAACTGGGGCAGAATCAGTAATGATGGGGTGAAGAATCAGGATGTTAAAGCTCTTACCTGATGTGTAGAGTTAGGCTTTGCCAGGCTTACTGACAGTTTCATTACCAGCACATCTAAACTGTCGTCAGGTAACTCAAGTTTGAGCTGCTTTGATAGTTTATCAGGTATTTACTTGCTCTCTTCCTTCTCTCATCGACAAAATACAGTTTTGGGGGGTTTTTTTTTGGGGGGGGGGGTTGTTGGTTTTTTGGTTTTGTGTTGGTTTTTTTTTTCTACTGTGGTTGCAATGGCAGTGCTTTGCTCTAGTCGGAAAATTGTGTTTTTGGGTTTTTTTTTTGGGGGGGGGGGGTTGTTGGTTTTTTGGTTTTGTGTTGGTTTTTTTTTTCTACTGTGGTTGCAATGGCAGTGCTTTGTTGAAGGGTGAGACTAGAAGCTGGCTTTTCACAGCTC